TGTCGTGGTGAGCTTCAGGCCGGCGGCCGCCGCTGCCACCACCTACCGGGCAACGAATCTCGTCATCCGTGCGCGGAATTTAATGCGGCGAGCTCGGTAGATGCGCGGCGTCCGGCGATCTCGTACGGCCCAGGCTCTACTGCGCCCTACGCCGCTACCCATGGCCCCATGACGCGGCGCCATTATTCTACCCGTTCAGTCGGCTTTGCCTGAAATCTTAAGCAACGGCCATTTATACGTAAATAATCTATATTTAATATTCTCTGGACAGCGAGTTGGAACCAAACACCCCTAAATGGCTGCGGTGTTATTATTTATTGTTAGCTCCCCGAGGAGGCAAGGACGGCCGTGGTCATCATGCTCGAAATGGCAGGACTATCGTGCTTTAGCTGGCTCACACGAAATGGTAGTATTCACATACTCCTTGGTGTGAACTATTGCAGAGTAGCAACTAGTTCATTTTTTTTCCCGACGGCAACTTGTTCATTCTTGTGATGATAGTAGAGATACGTGTTGTATTTCACTTTCAGGATGGCTGCAGAAACACTTGTATCCAAACACGCAATGCATTGTTATGTATTTGGATGATGTGTGTTTCTAGTTCGCAGTGTGGGATTCCAAACACCGTGCAGTGGAGAGTATGTGTATTTTTAGAGTTGTATTATGGATATTATGTGGATATGTGTACCATTGAAAATTACCATAAAGAAACCAATGTTTTGATTATCCTCTGCAACTGGTTCTTCTGGTATCTCAAATTAACGACAATTCAATTTCTGTTGTCCATATGAGGTCCATGTATGGAGGAGGCCTAGAGCTAAAAAGGTGCAAACATGTGTAGTGTGGTTCTTTTGGTATGAATGGCTTCAAAACTATCGATCCTGATATGTTAGTTAACCTGAACAAGGCCATTTGATATACCAAGATTGATACTATAGATTTGTTTCAAAATTTCCAGACATGTTATTCCTAAAATTGCTTCCAGACTTAGCTTCCAAAACTGAATGTCAAATTTGTTTTCAGAGTCGCAGGTACAGGTTTCATAGTTTCATGTTTTCAGTCAAACTTTAACTGTGCCACAGAAAATTCCTTCCAATCCTATATGCACGTGGTCCATACAACCTTAAGTAAAACTGTTCTGTTCTTGATCTATATCTCTACCTTATTTGTTAAAGCACATATATGAATTAGTCTTTGAACTGGTAGATCAAGGAACTCAAATGTTACTTGCGAAAAATTGTTTTCAGATATGAACTTCATAGTTCAGAGCTAAGTTTCAGAGATATATCAAACAACTTTCTCTAGCATTTTTGTTCAGTTCAAATTATTAATTAGATCGTTCATCAGCAAGGAATACATTATTTGATAGGGCCAAACACATAGTTCAAATTTAGGGTGAATTATTGACATGTAAGTTCATAAATAAATTTTCTTTAAAATGAACACCAAACCTTGAACATTTTAACTGTTTTCAGACTTGGCAAATTGGAACTAAGTTTTACATCATCTCAAAACATTCAAATGTAAACACCACATAAAAATAGGATTTCACAAAAAAATTTGGTTAAATTTGAGTTCTGCATGTTCCAGTTTTTGGTTTCAGAAAGAATCTAACGTTTTCATTTGGACAGCATGTGTAGTTTTGAATGTGACAAGTTTTTTTTTTTTTTGATTTTTTGAGATATTTTTTATATCCTGGAATTTCTGCCCCTTGTCTTCCAAAGAGACACAGGGAACAAATCCCCAAAGGTGATTCCTTCCCATGGAACTGACGGGGATCTCTAGAGCCAACAAAATTCCCCCTCCTGGGTTTCCTTCCCTGGGTGCTAATCCTCAAGCTTCCAAGCTAGCCCGTAGTGAGAATGCTACTGTAACAGAGGTACTTTCTGAGACAAGGCTTGTAACGTTAATTCTGTTTAATGACCACAATATCTAAGAATTACTGATTGTCGGAACTGAAATAGATGGACTGCACACGATTTGCAAAAAAGGTGCTTCTCCAATCCTGTAAATTGAAATAGGATATTCAAATCCTTTGAATTTAATATAGCTATATTTCTCTAAGACTCAAATGATGTACAGCCCTACTGGACCGAAAGAGCTGTCAAATTCTATATCATAAGTACAGAGATACAAGACCACTCGGTAGTTGCACATCTAATCTAATGCTAAGAACCTAAGGTCAACTACTTGGCTACTTGTACGACACCAAAACGTTTTTTATTCACCTTTTCATGCCTGTCATCTAGCTTCACACAGGGGCACAGGGCAATGCCAATTGGTTTGACAAAAGAGGAAAAAAGTCTGTCACATGTAACAGGAAAAATAAAGTTAAACAGGGAAAAAACATTAGCAAGTCGTTTATGTTACCTTTGTTATCAGCACAGGGACACCAAACACACAATTCACAGTCTTCTTGAGCTCAGTAACTTCCTTGGTATTCTTCATGAACGTCAACTTATCCTTTCGGAAGGAAAGCATGGAGCCACTTGTACTGCAGGTAAGAGCAATTCCAGCCACCGTTTTAAGTACTCAAGAAATGCGGTGCCCCTTTTCATAGATCAAGTGCTCAGACTAGTACAAGTTTCGATATACTGGTTGGCAGTTCGGCCCTTTTCATGGAGTAGTAGTAGTGACTTGTGCCTGAACAAGTTGGCAGTTTGGCACGAAGTTCTCGAGTTCAGCACATGGACACTTGTGACTGACACCGGTCCTTGTAGGATTCTTGTGCTGAACAGCTCCTCTTGATCCATTGACCACAGTTCATTGCTTTTGCAGGACTCAAGTACGAGTCTTACAATACAAAAGTTTCCGGTGAGCTAAAATATCAGCAGTTCAGCATTTTGGCCATGAGGTGTTTGATAATTGATAGCCATAATGATTGAGTGAGACGCTAAAAACACAGCCATGGCTTGGTTGGGCATCCATTCATCCTTCAACTGGGAGATTTTATTCATAAAGCCTAAATGATAACAGATATGCTCAGCAGCTGGAGTGGCACATAAACCATGAAGAGTATCAGCAACAGAAACTCAGATATAGATTAATAAATAGCACTGCAAATTAAAGAATGAAGAAATAAGAGCATGTATTTGGAGCATATACCCCATATTAACCATGTGTATCCAAATAGATGACAGGAGTAAGCATCCATACCAATGGAGAAGTGAAGGGTCAATCATACAAAGGTTCTTGAATGAGGATCTTCATTTTCTCGACAAGAAAGTCAAGCACATCCTTCCTTCCTTCTTTCAAAAGTAGCTGCCTCAGCTTGCCAAAAGTTGAACCAGGAGGTCTAATGCCCTTCTCTATCATATCTTCAAGCAGGACACAAGCTTGGCTAACCTCACCCTTGTCACAGAGACCATTGATCAGCACGGAGAATGTGTGCATGCTCGGCAAGAATTGCTTCAACCGCATATACTTCCATACCTTCAGTGCCATCTCTATCTTATCATTCTCACAGAACATCTTTATCATCATGGTGTAAGTATCAGAGTCTGGTTTGCAGCGCTTAATCATGCTGCGGAAGACCCTATATGCCTCATCATCCTTTCCAAGGCTAATCAAAGTATTTAGGATGATGTTCCAGGTCCTTGAGTTCGGGGAGATTCCATGGCCTTCCATGTCATCCATGACTCTGAAGGCATTGTCAAACTTTTTCACTTTGCAGAAGGCAGTGACGAGCGCATTGTACACAACAACATCAGGCACAATCCCATCCTTCTCCATATCCAAAAATGTTGCAACAGCATCCTCAATCCTCATATCAACTCCATAAGTATGCACTAAGACGCTGTATATGAAGGTTGTCGGTTGGCATCCCCTGGAGCTCATGTCCTGCACGACACATACAGCCTCTTCGACTCGGCCTGTCTTGCAGAGTGCATCGACCATGATACCATATGTGACAATGTCAGGTTGGCAACCAGCGGCAAGCATATCACTATAAACCTCTCGCATCTTTGGGAGGTTGGGTGCTCTCCCCCAACCCTCAAGCAAGATGCTATAGGTCTTGGCATCAGGACTGAACCGATTATTCATCTTGTCAAAGATATCCTGCGCCTTGCGTACGTTCTTAGACTTGCACAGTGCACCGAGCAAGCTGTTGAAGGCAGCGAGGTTGTGGGCAACACCATACCTCTCCATGATGTTGAACGTGTAAACTGCCTCATCGAACTTCTGCGCCCGGGCATATTTGCGCATGATGATGCCAAACGTCTCAACATTGGCCACGCCCTCCTTGCGCATAACGGCCACGACGTCCCACATGAGTTGGTACTGCCTGATCTTGGCTAGGGACGCGACCACCGTGTGGTAGGAATGCACGGTATGGGCACACCCACCGCACCTCTGCCTGCGCACCCACTCAAAGAAGCGGTACGCGAGCATGCCGGCGTTGTCGATGCGCTCGAGGACGTGCTCTGCGACCTCCGGCGTGACGTGGACGCCGCTATGGTCGAGCTCGTGCTCGAGGGCCGAGGCCTTCCGGCAGGAGATGATGAGCTTGCAGAGGCGCTTGGCAAGGTCTGAGGCGTCCAGCAATGTATCACAGCCCACGCTGGCCCCGCCTCCACTCCTAAGCATTCTTACAAACACCTTGCGTGCCTTCAACCAGGTGTGGTGGAAGTCACCGATTTCTCTTCCGGCACCCACCGAAACCGCTGTGACCGAGACTGTTGCTAAGCTTAGCCAGTCGAGGCCTCGCTGAATCCGGACACACAGGCGAGGCGAAGGAGTAATTGCTCCGCCGTGATCGGCGGCGACTGAGCGGGCGCTACGCAGGTACCGCCAAATCGAAGAGAGGAACAGGTGCGACTGTGCGAGTGCGATCCGGTCCGTTTTGTGGAGTGACCCCGAAGTCAAAAGGCATACGGGCTTTAAGCCTGGTGAACTGATTGGGCCGACATAGGTTTAATGAGAAATCATGAGGCCCAATGCTGGTGAGCTAAAACCTCAGAAAGCGAGAAAAGGGGAGACTCCACTGCTCGACCCAAAAAATGGCGGCGGCGCCAGAGAGCAAGTCGCCGGAGGAGCTGCTCTGCGCGGCGGCGAAATCCGGTGAAGAGGACGAAGTCTCTAAACTCGTTGCCTCAGGAGCTGACGCGACCCACTTCGATGCCGAAGGCTTGACCCCGCTCATGCACGCGGCCGCGAGGGGGCGGGGGGGGGGCACGCCGCCGTTGCGCGCCTCCCCCTGGAACGCGCTCTCCCCCTCGGGCGTCTCAGCAGGGGACCTAGCCTCCGATCCGGACACCTACGACCTCCTCCTCGACCACGCCCTCCGCTCCGAGCTCGTCCTTGGCACCGTCGCGCGGCGGCAAGTGGCCCCCGCGAACGCCTCGGACGCCCCCCCGGCGGAGAGCTACCTTGAATCCAGGGTCTCGTTCAGCGAGGAGAGGGTTTTGGACGCGGAGAGCAAGGCAGTGATGATGGCGTGGGAGCGGCCGCTGATAGAGGCGCACGCGCGGGCGGTGTGGCAAGGTGCTCAACGTGGGGTTCGGGATGGGGCTGGTGGACGAGGCGATACAGAGGTACGAGCCCGAGGAGCACACGCCCACCCAGAGGTGCATGAGCGGATGCTCAAGCTCGGGTGGGGCGAGAAGAAGAACGTCAGAATCGTGTTCGGGCGATGGCAGGACGTGATGCCGCAGCTCGGATCTTATGACGGTATAACATACCTTTTACCTTTGCTTATTCATCTCATAGTTGTCATGTTTGGTCATCGATGTTGCAATGCTAAATGCTTTCTTGTCTGAGTGTAATTTTTCTGTTGCGGAATGTCTTAGGTGTGTCTCAGGTGAAATTTCCGTAGGTTGCATTATCCTTGGCATGCCCTAGTAGGTATTCTAGAGTATGGAGAAGTTGTGCAAAAGCTGAAGGATAGTTTTTTTTTTTTTTTGGAAGTATGTCTCAGGTGAAATTTCACAGGTTGCATTATCCTTGGCATGCCCTAGTAGGGATTCAGGAGTATAGAGAAGTTGGGCAAAAGCTGAAGATAGGAAATTTCTGGAGTATGTCTCAGGTGAAATTTCCATAGGTTGCATTATCTTTGGCCTGCTCTAGCAGGAATTCAGGAGCATGAAGAAGTTGGTAGTATCTAACAAGAGTTTTCTCTCTGTTTGTGGCCTTTCTGGAGTAATGTTCTGTAGAATGACATAGGATTTGATCATGATAAGATTCAATGTTTTCAATGAATCATAAAGAAGCTTTAGTTTTCCAGTTGGTTCTGGTGCTTCCCCGTCTGACCATTCCTCAATTACTCTCCCTGTTCTTCCCCGTTGAATGTTACTTTTCACATTGTTGTTCCGCCATCCACCGGCATGACTCCACCAGTACTGGTGCTCACTGCCCAGTGACCGCATCAACTAATGTCGCTGGTTCCCAGTGTTCACCTCCTGCGCTGATGCTGTTGTTCTCAGCCAAAGGGATGGCTATCTAACATTGATTTGAGAGAGTGAATTGCGGAGACCATGGATCCTGTCTGGATGACTCATGTTCCTCACCTAGTCCATCAGAGTACAGCATGCTTCACCACCGTTAAGAACTCCTTGGCCTCCATCGATGCCCTCACAGAAGCTCGGGCCTCCATCACGGCTGGACCTCAGATCTGAAAGGAGAGGAGGAAAGATGAATGAATGGGGAGTGGGGTGCTCAAGATAAGGGCTTCCACCAGTAAGCTTGTACCTGAGATAGAAGCAGGACATTCTGGGTGACAATATTCAGTTGTGTCTCCACAAGCGGCCCCATCCAGGCAATCTTCAGGCTGCGCTAGCCAACTACTGCTCATTCCGAGCTGTACCTGAGGATACTGAGAGGAGCATGTTCGGAGGAGAGGGTCTGCCGCTGTCAGCCGTGGAGATGGTGGCTGTCACAGGACGGGACATGGAGCTCATAGGTATGCAGGGCATAAATGGATATGATGCGTTTAATTAGACCAAATTTTATCGAGTGACAAGTATTGGTGCACTTTTCCAGAATTTGACAAACATCAGCTATTATTGACTGGAGGGAGTATATTCATACAAGAAGGATCATGTTCGGAACAATGATATACGTGATAGATTAGGGGTAGCACCAATTGAAGAAAAGCTTGTCCAACACCGGTTGAGATGGTTTGGACATATCCAACGGAGACCTCCAGAGGCACCGGTGCGTAGTGGAATCCTAAGCCAGGATAGTAACGTGAAGAGAGGCAGAGGAAGACCGAACTTGACTTGGGTAGAGGCAATAAAAGGAGACTTGAAAGGATGGAATATCCCCAAAGACTTAGTCTTAGATAGAAGTGCTTGGAAAACAGCTATTCACATGCCTGAACCTTGATTGCTTCCCCCAACTTATTTGGGACTTAAAGGCTTTGTTGTTGTTATAGGGAATATATTCAAAGTTTTCAACCTAGTATTTCTAAAAGTTTTCGAAGTAGGTAAATTTGGACCTTTTGTCAGGAAAAGTGTGCGTCTAGATAGTTTCTGAATACATGTTTACATTGGAAGGCGTCTATAGAAGTGCTTACCACATGAGTATTATGTTGCAAACAGCCATTTCATGGCTCTGTGTGGCACTTGGAAACCTTGTTTAGCTTCACTCATGTGGGGTAATTTGCAACAATATGCACAGAGCTACTGTTTTCTTTTGATGAAACTTATTTAAAAGGTGAACCTTCGTTTATTTTAGTAATCTTACTCTTAATTTTTGGACATCTCTCTTCATCCATTGAAGTAACCATTTTTTTGGGCATGGTGGTCATGGTGGTGGTTGTGCTAGTCCAAATAAGAATAGTTGGTTAGTGTTTTGGCCATAAGACCTCTTTAGAATGCATAAATGTGAAAAAGAATACAAAAACACTGCAATTGGTAGTTGAGAAAACATAGGAACTTAGAAGACACTGCGATACTTATAAACAAATGTGATGTGTGTACATTTCAGTCAACATAAGCTTTTGGTGGCAGACTTTCGGTTTCAGGTATGTGCCCATAGGGATAAACAAGCTAAGATTGAAAGAACAAAGTGGTGGAAACTGAAAGGGTAGACGTCAGAGGTATTCAGGGAAAGGATTATCAAAGAGGGCTCTTGGAAGGAAGAAGATGACATAAACAACATGTGGGAGAAGATGGCAACCAATATTCGGAAGGTGGCCTCAGAGGTGTGTGGAGTAACCAAAGAAAGTGGAGGCGAGGCTAAAGATACTTGGTGGTGAAACGAGGAAGTCCAAAGGGCTATTAAGGAGAAGAAAGAATGCTATAGATGCTTGTACCATGATAGGAGTGCGGACAATATAGATAAGTATAAAGTGGCAAAGAAGACTGCAAAGCGAGCTGTAAGTGTGGCAAAGGGTAGAGCGTACGAGGATCTTTACCAACATTTGAGTACGAAGGAAGGAGAGAAGGACATTTATAGGATGGCTAGGGTTCGTGAGAGAGACAAGGGACTTCAACCAAGTTAAGTGCATTAAGGATGAAAAGGAGCATCTCTTGGTGAAGGAGGATGAGATTCGACATCGATGGCAAGAGTATTTTGACAAATTGCTCAATGGTGAGAATACGGACATAACTTTTTAGTTGGACGACTCTTTTGATGACACCAATAGGCATTTTGTGCGGAGAATCCAAGAATATGAGGTCAGAGAGACGTTGAAAAGGATGAAAGGAGGTAAGGCGAAGGGACCGGATGGTATCCCAATCGAGGTGTGGAGATGCCTCGGGGACGTAGCTATAGTATGGCTAATCAAGCTGTTCAACCATATTTTTCGATCGAACAAGATGCCTGACGAGTGGAGGAGAAGCATATTGGTACCGATCTACAAGAATAAAGGGGATATTCAAAGTTGTACTAATTACCGGGGAATTAAGTTGATGAGCCATACTATAAAGCTATGGGAGAGAGTTATCGAGCATCGCTTGAGAGCAATAACGCGGGTCTCTATGAACCAATTTGGTTTCATTCTCGGAAGATCAACCATGAAAGCCATTTTCTTAATAAGACAAGTTATAGAGCGGTATAGGGAGAAGAAGAATGACCTACACATGGTTTTTATTGACTTGGAGAAGGCTTATGATAAAATACCAAGGAATGTTATGTGGTGGGCTTTGGACAAACATAAAGTCCCAACGAAGTACGTCGGGCTCATTAAGGACATGTATAACAATGTTGTGACTAGTGTTCGAACAAGTGATGGAGACACGGATGACTTTTCGATTAGGATAGGACTACATCAAGAGCCAGCTTTGAGCCCTTATCTGTTTGCCTTAGTGATGGATGATGTCACAATGGACATACAAGGGGACATCCCTTGGTGTATGATTTTCGCGGACGATGTAGTGCTAGTTGATGAAAGCCGGACAGGAGTAAATCAGAAACTGGAGTTATGACGGGAGACTTTGGAGTCCAAAGGTTTTAGACTCAGTAGAACTAAAACTAAGTAGGAAGTGCCTAGAAAGGATATCTTTCGATATTTAGGATCAATGCTACAGAGAGACGGGGATATTGATGAAGATGTTAGCCATAGAATCAAAGCAGAGTGGATGAAGTGACGCCTGTCCTATGTGATAAAAGGGTACCACAGAAGCTAAAAAGCAAGTTTTATAAGACGACGATTAGACCTGCTATGTTGTATGGTGCAGAATGTTGGCCTATGAAAAGACGACATGTTCAACAGATAAGTGTCGCGGAAATACGTATGTTGCGTTGGATTTGCGGTCATACAAGAAGAGATTGAGTTCGGAACGATGATATACGTGATAGATTGGGGGTAGTACCAATTGAAGAAAAACTTGTCCAACACCGGTTGAGATGGTTTGGACATGTCCAACGGAGACCTCTAGAGGCATCGGTGCGTAGTGGAATTCTAAGCCAGGATAGTAACGTGAAGAGAGGCAGAGGAAGACCGAAGTTGACTTAGGTAGAGGCAATAAAAGGAGACTTGAAAGGATGGAATATACCCAAAGACTTAGCCCTTAGCCTTAGATAGAAGCGCTTGGAAAACAGCTATTCATGTGTTGCTTCTGCTGGGTTTTAAGTATAGCCTACCCTAACTTGTTTGGGACTTAAAGGCTTTGTTGTTGTTGTATATTTTAGTCAACATGCAATGGGAAACTGTGAAAACAGAACCTGGAAATCTATCTATTTATATTACTGTGCTTTCTCCATGTCTCTTTCTCCTACTTTTTCCTTGTTGCTCTTCTTATATTAAGAGCATAAGCACCTGGACTTCCCTACCAAACAACACAACTCGTCAACACCCAAGCATTCCTTATAAGCAAAACCCTTTGTCTTCAATGTGTTTTTAATCCTTGGGTGGGGAGGAATCGTTTTCTCCATGGCTTTTGAAGATGAGGGCGACAACTACGGCGTCAACAACTTCATCGGCACGACGACATGGAGACTTTTCTTTCCGGACGGCAACATCAAGGCGGAGATGATATCGCCGCTATGGAATAATTTTCTCTGGTCTCTTCTCCGTTTTGTTGTGGTTAGATCTGGCCACGATGAAGGACTAGGGAGAATAAATTTCAGATCAGGCTTCCTCATTCTTCGGTGGCAGAAAAAAGAAGGAAAACATAAGAAAGAAGAAGTTTCTCAGCTCTACTTGCAGGAATGTTGGCCGTCGTTCGTTGGGCATTTGTTATCAGACCATTTGTCGAGTATTTGCTTGTGCGGTCATCTATATGAAGCGTCATACAGGTTTGGGTTTGAGATCTGGAGCTATTCACAGCGTGAGCACAATTTAGATGAAAACCAGTTTCTGAGTGCTTTAATGTGT